ATGCTCAAAGTAGCTTCGAGGTAACCGGCGAATATTTTATTTCACCCGCATCCAATTCAGCCATAATACAGAAACTCGACTCACTCATACGTATATATCAACATCTTATAACTTAGTCAGTCACACTCAGAAGTGAACGAAATAACCCAATTCAGTCTTTATTTAGTAGAGAATACGAAAGGTCCTCGACTGACGAAACTCTGCAGAAGACGGACTGAAAAGGAGGAACTTTTAAAGTTGAGCCTGCTAGCCGGACAGCGGGTAAACACCTAGAACCCATAGTTCCTTGCGTACATGCTTTTCTTCCTCTTCTGGTGACACGACATCGTTTTATTCACTGTGTAAAGATTTTCAGGTAAGAATCGCTTTGATTTCCCCCGTGTTTTCTTCGCAAAGCGGACTGAAAACGTAAGTAATGCCATGCTAATCCTTCATTTCTTTACTCGAAAGCAACTGACTCTGAAGAATGGATCAAATTACCAACGCTCTCGAACCATGCAAACAGTTCGCTAAAGACTCCATGAGACTTGTGAAAAGATGCACGAAACCAGACAGAAAAGGTTTTTGTTTTTATTCTTGTTCATTGTTTTTGGTATTACTCTGTTTATGCTGTTAAAATTTTTGGCCATTTCATTACGCGTGTTCGTAACAAGTTTTTTGGTCGCTTCCTTTCTAGATATCAAGGAAAATTTAAATTTTGTAAACAGCGTGCATATATACTGTTTTAATTTTTTCTCTCAACTCGTAGGTTTCTTTTTATCTTTTTGCTTTGAGAATTCGTTTACTACTTCTTTTGTTGAAGCACAGTCGTCTCTATTACATACCTCCTCTTCTGAGTCCCTGATGTGATCAAGTTCGTAGCGCATCAAACTACTTTCAGTTGGCATGTAATCGTCTGACTTAGAAGATATTTTTGGACTGGTACAAAAATCTTCAATTTGGAAAACACATTTTGTATTATTTGGACATCTAGCGCTTAGTTCTCGATTAAACATCGTTCTTGTTCGATTTGCTTGCTTTTAAAGTCTTTCTGCTTCAAAATAATGTGTGTCTTTTGTGGCCTCGTCACTTTTGACTACAAAGAACCTTTCAGTTTGAAAAGATGTTAATTGTAAACTCTTCGCCAAAGTCCAATACATGATTTGAATAACAAGAAATCTTAACGAAAAGCAGGAATATCAACATTTAAATCTAAATCAGATTCTTGTAAGCCTAACAGTCAAGAAGATATCATAGCACAAACAAGGAATGTGCAAATTTCTATATTTCCTATGTTTTATAAAGGGTTAATAGACAACTTTAAAAACTAAGGACTCCAGGGTTTCTTATTAAGAATTGAATAATGTTTCTTTTTACAAAAAGGAGACTTATCTGGGTGAAATTTAGTGTCAAATTTTCATTTGTATGACCTAAGTGGTCAGGGAGGTCCACAAAGATGCTGGCAAAGGCAATGGATGCCAGTAATGTAAAATCTTGACAAAACAGAAACCTTTGTTTTCAACCATGTTTCTCATTTTTTATCTATTTTAACCTTTGGCTTAGGTACCACCAGTAAAACTATTGTTTTTTAGTTGTTGTAACCTTGCTCCAGGCAACTGCTGAAATGAAATTATGGATGCTAGTCTTCAGTCTTAATTACAAAGTAGATTTATACCTTTCGATGTAACAAGCAAACTTCAGTTACAGAAATATATTGGCAGCATATTTTGCAAAATCGCACTGTAAATCAAATTTCACAAATAACTTTTCAAGGAAAGCTCTGCTTCAACACTGCTTTTTCTCATGGCAGTTATCATTAATTTAAGATTTTCAGTGTTATTACCACAATGTTTTCCATATTCAGGTAAAATGTACAGTGTGCATTAACTTTAAAGTGAAATATACTTGGCAAAAATTGTACAATTTGTTTCACAGTAAACCTGCTTCTGCCACATACATTTACTTAAAATTCCAGAAATTCACAGTGAAAAAGCCTTTCTTTATGAAGGGTACTCATTATACAAAGTGCATGTATTTTTTCAAAATATTCACTAGCTATTTTTTTATGTTTTTATTAAGGCTTTTCAAATTCTGATAATTCTGAACAGTTCATTTCTTCATCACATAATTTAAACATTTGACCCCCAAGAGTAGCTAGCATCTAATGTCTCCTTACATATCACCACTGAATCACACTTTAAGGCCATGACAATAAAAGAAATGATCACCAACTGAAGAAACTTGCGATTGTTAAAGAAATTCTCCTTGTCAACACCTTAGGCAATGTATAAAGAACAGTATTGAGAATATGCTCACTTATGTTAGGATGTAAAGGGTTTAATTAATGTTTTTGTTTGTGGTTATATTTTCCAGAATTCCAAAAAATTGCACTGGCAACTGCTATTGGTTTTGCCATTATGGGATTCATTGGCTTCTTTGTTAAACTCATACACATCCCCATCAATAACATCATTGTGCAGTAGTGAAATAATTATGGCAAGTATACTGATAATGTGCCTGTTTGTTAAGTTTTAATCTGGGCTTCTTGAGGAATGCGAAAGGTTAAAGATGGCTTCAGTTTTAGCATGTGCACAGGGTTTAGATGTATGCATCAGTAATTAGAATCAAGTGAAATATAAATCTATAACTAAAACTGATACAAATATCTTGGACTTGGCACACTCTCAAAATATTGCACAGCATTGAATAGTCGTTTGGTCCAAGAATGATCAGTTTTTCATGTTTGTTTACCTGAACCAAGTTATTATCAATAAGGAAAACCAGTGTTCACATAAATGTTCAAAAAGGTGTTTCAGAACTCAATGGTTGCTCTGTAGTTCACTATTTAGGTCAAGTAAACTTAGAATCACAATGCTCATTTAAGGCTAACCCTTAAACTCTGATCTGATTGCTACTTCACCCCCCTAACTACCTTGCATCTCATTGTAAATTAGTAGCAAGAATTTGTTGTTAGATCAAGATGACAATATCTACCTGATAGGTTTGAGTATTCTCATTACCTGTTTGTTGAATAGTGTGGGGACATTACAGTCAACTGTCAATCACCTGGGAGAGTTTAAGAGCTAATCTGAGCTTGAAATGTCTTACTGCATATTCTTTGAATTTGATGGAACACAAAAAATCCTAATGCTTGCTTTGTGCGCATTTTTTCCACCATTGCTTTGTTTGTTTGTTTGTTTTGGTTTTTTTTTTTTTAACAAGCTTTGACACAATTTTTCCAATCTTTTTTTTTTCAGATATCCAAGTCAAGAAGATTTATATCAACATGTACTAACAACTAAGAGTTGCACTTCTTGAACTAAATTGATTCCATAGGCCTGAGTCTAATTCGTAATTGTATCTGTAATTTTTTCAGTTCTGGTTTACAACAGTTGAAAGTCATGAGTGTCCCATAAAAAACAACTTGTAACATTTTTAAGCAACTTGAGAAAAATTGTATTCTATTCTGAGTCAGTAATAAAGTAAGCTGCTGCATTGTTTTGAAGTGTCTTCTAATAATAATGCAATAAAGAACTTTTTCTTTGTTTAAACACCAGGGAGATCACAGAAATTCGAGACAGCTGTTCCACAAACCTAAAATACGGTTAAGAGTTTGTGTGGCTTTTTAAAAGAATACCCTACACCTCAGAGTACTCAGATGAGTTGGGTACAAGCTTCATCCTCTTAAATGCAGGATACATAATTTTACTATGACGAGTCCCTAAACCACTGAAACAGTCTGACGATTACTGTACTATCTCGAGTTATACCCTAGACTGTGGGGGAAAAAAGGGAATAGCAAGAAAAATTTATTAACCCTTTAACTCCCAGATCAGATTTAAAATTCTCCTTACTATCAACCATACATTTCTTATAATGTTAGTTCAGAGAATTTAATATTGGATCAACTAATTATCCTCAAATTGATATTTTCCTTTATTCTCGACACTTAAGGAGAAATTCTGTCTTGGTCACTCATGGGAGTTAAAGGGTTAAGGAGCATTAGAGAAACGAAAACTATGAAATTAACGAAAGATCTAGACAAGATGGATAATGTAAGAAATGAATTGATGATCTGGGCTAGAGAAGGAGCCACTGCTCGAATAATGAGCCCGTGCTTCTACTCCAAGCAGCAACGAAGTCCTCTGGAATAGCAGCGAAAAACGGAACAAGTTACAGTTAAGGAAAAGAACAAACTTTATTTGTAAATAAGAAAATTGCAGTCCCAGTGAAAGTGAACAACGATGTGTATGTATCTGCGGCGACCCATATAAATTTGAAGAGCAACGGGACCTTCTGGCATCACGCAACTTACAACAACTCTTTTTGTTACTAAAAAGATTTAAAATAAAACTCCCAAGAAGCTTCTTTAATGTCACGCCAGATCTCAGACTACAATTGCCAATTTAATGTGTTTTATCTCGCAAGGAACCTATCTTAAGTTCGGTGGATTTTACACCGCCTACAGGGTTCTGGCGGTGGGTCAATCTCCAGGCTTGTATCCTGTGAGTATTTGTTTTCCCACACCCGTCGTTCGTAATTAGAAGAAACTGCTGCTCGAGGAGCAAACAACCTTATCTCTCTCTGGGGAATGTAGCTCCACTGTAGGGTCCTGTAAGTGGTTGGCTGTTGTGAATGACCATTTTATCATTCTGCAGCAGAGCGAGGAGAAACCCGATTGGCGAATCACATGACCCTTGATCACATTTCGCATAAAAGCTTTTTGTCTTACCACATTCAGGATCAAAATCCTTAGTGATAGTGTATCAAATTTAACACCTCGTATGTTTCAAATATTGCAGTATTCAGCTCATGCGAGCGGTAAGAAACATTCAGTCTTGCTCTAAACAGGCTTTTTCCTTTTGCTGTGCTTATTTTTGGTGAGAAAAACCGGGAAATAAGCAACCCTTAGAGCGTTGCGTTACGTAGTGTCATTTGACACTGTGGGTGTCTGTCACTTTCAGACGACAAGCATGCTATTTCACAGCAACACAATACAAAACTTTATTGATCGCTGTGGCTGGGGTGTGATACCTTAGATGGAAAGGTAGTCCCGCATTACCTTACTGTCTCGCACGCACAAGACTAGGGGCTGTTCATTGAACCTTCATGCTTCAGCCCTGTTAGGCTACTTGGGTTGAAAAGATGGGGTTCTATACCTCTAGATTTGTAGTTTCTCTTTTCTTTGTCTTATGGATTTGCAGTACGCAGGGGCAGAACGGTGAGTATCATTTTTAGACTTCTAAGGGTTTTGTGCTCAACTTTCCTTCCTTCGGTAACGAATGAGCTTCGCGAGCGGGCATTTCCCCCTCGATTCGACGCTTAATTTGCAATTCAATTAGCTTCCTTTCAGTAGACATTTGGAAAGCATTCATCTCTCCCCTATGCGAATCATTTTGTCTTTTCTTCGGATCTTTGCTTCGCCATTTCATCGGACCGACCATGATCAGGATGAAAGCTTTATTGTATTCAGTTGTATGCGGGCATTGTGAATTTTAGATTTTTTTCTTCGTTATGAGATTTTGTGCCACAATCGTGCCTGTACAATCGATCATATTGTAGAGGAAAAGTTAAAACAGTTTCCTCATTGACCCAAATATTTTACAGTTCGTTTTATGAAGTGGAATTTTCATGTGAATGCATTCGGATCAATCGAGGTGTTGTGTGATATCCCTTTGCGTCTTGATATCTTGCGCAGGATAAAACTCCGGCGCCTCTACCTTTTTTCAGCGGGAGGACGTTATCTGTTGTATGTAATTCTTCGCCCTGGCAGTGAATTTGATCTTATTTTCTTAATATTTGTGAAGTTAAAGCATTCGTTTTCTTAGATCGGTATGGTGAACCCGAAAAGCGCAATTTTTGTGGTATAGTGTTACGATTTTACATACCAGCGACTGAGGACAATCGGCCATTCAACATATCTCAAATGGCTTTATTTTGTAATATATTGTTCTCGCGTAGAACCAAAAAAAAAAACAGTGGAAAGTCTCTAACCATAGAGCCCTTCTTTTACAAACTCCCATTTTCAGTTGACGTTACCTTAATTATTTGAAATCTCTGATAAATAGATGCTTACACCATATATTAAACCTCCGCGGCTTGCTCCGTAAATCGCACGCGGCGCGTTCTTCACGAATAAGTTTAAAATAGACGAGTGTGCTGGAATAAAAGTTCTCGTTTACAATAGGGAATAGATATAGCCTACAAAGTTAAAAATAATCGAGTCAGAATTCCTACTAAAATGGAATTATTTCTGGATGGAGGGCTAGAATTTCTACTCATCTTATGTTTATATACATATAACGAGCTTATGTGCATATATTCATACAACGGGGTCGAGAAAACCCAGTTCAAAGCATTTGATAGATTAGTTAAATGGAGAAAGATTTACCATTTTTGTGACCCCAATACCTCAATGAAACAGTTGCTGTTTTATTTAAAACTCAACATGTTATTGTCTTAATGATTTGATGAGTGAAGCAGAATATTTCAAGGTCATTGCTTTGAGAATGAGTTCATGTTGTCTGAGTGAGAAGGAATTGTTATTCCGAATCTTAAATTATGAAAAAGACTTCCTATTTTATCTGTAGTTATTTGTCAATTGATAAGGGTCCTAAAGGTACGTCATAGTTGACCCCACATCATGGCGAGGCTTACAAATAGTAACATGGCGGCCGTGTGGCTGACTACAAACCTTGAGTTTATTTGCACGTAGTAGATTACAAAACGCCGTAGCAGTTGTTCTGTTATTAAAAATGTTGTGCTCCTTTATGATTTTTTTAAAGACTTAGTTGTAAATGGTTGTACCCGTTCATTTATTGCTTACTTTCAATTTCTTTTCTTCGTTTTAGTTCCAACTGAAATAGACGAGGTAAGAAGTGAATTATTCATCGTTTACACTTACAATCTGCATTAAACTTTGATGTGGAACAGAATTATTTCCTGAATGTTAAGTTTCTGAGCATGGACGAGTTGTCTTTGCATTGATTGTCCAAATGCGTGACAGCAGATATCGTGCGTGATAACAAATGTCACGTACTCCAAACACTTGTTCCCAAATTACCCGGTCACCCAAACAAACATGTCGCATGTGGTTGCATACAACTGATATTACACACAAACTGCACATGCATGTGGATAATTTTGTTTACAGCGGATATGAACGGGTCTAAGAGTTAAGTACGGTAGGGTTAAGAAATTCTAAAGTTGTCATTTCTTTTTCAATCCTAACAATTTATACGTTATCTGTTTTAAACTTTGATAACGTGAAATCATCATTGGCACGTTGATCATAATTTTGGGAGCTATGAAGTTTTTCTCTGTTTGGTGGCAGTTATTTTCATAGGGTCATTGTATTGACTTAACTGTTTTCTTTGTTCTGCACTCTCAGAAGCGTAACAGATACAACGAAGATGAACCTATTTTTCCTTGCGAATAACAAAACAGTTGTTTTTATCCTTTTTGTTAACAGTCATTAAAAGGTCAACCAGGTGAAAAAGGAAGCAAAGGAAGAGGGGTAAGTATCAATTTGATTATGAAGTTAATCAGTGCTTCGTCACTGAGAATGTAAACTATAGTGTTACAAATTTTGAAATCAGTAACATCAGAAATACACTTCACCCTGAAAGCTTAACCTTAAGCATGCGATCTTGCCAACTTTGCATCCCTATCCTCGTGGTTAAAATGCAAAATTAACAATGCAAATTTCATGTCATGCTGGAAAAAAAACCTGTAACACTTAACATGTGTTGCCAAGAGGCAGTTTGGTGAAGGACTCAATTTGCAAAGCTGAATGGCTGTATATTAATTTTTAATCATCCAAAGTATCTATTTTGTTATTTATCTTATACTTATTCTCTTGAATGAACTACAATACAAAAACTTGTCTCAGTTACAACTGAAACTATTGTGAATGAAGAAGTATACTTTGTGCACTTACCCAGAAGTTTCTCGGAAAGTGAGCAGAGAGAAGGCAAATATTACTTTTAAATTACAAATTAAGTTAACCCTTCTACTCCCAAGATCTGATTGTTAATTCTCCCCTTGGGTTGCTCAATGTTTCCTTGTAAATTAGTCATGAGGATATGGTGTTAGATCAAGATAACAACCTATACCTGACAAGTTTGAGTATTAATTCTCATGACCTGTGAGCAAGATTATGTATGGATATTCAAGGGAGAAGTTACATGTAAATCACTTCTGGAAGTTATAGGGTTTATTGAAAGTTGCTTTTTAGCTGTAAGTAAAGAAAAACCAAGATTAAACTTTGATTCTAGGGTGATCAAGGTCCCCCCGGACCAAGGGGTGATACTGGAGAAGCTGGAGATGATGGTACTGAGGTAGGTAACAAAGAAATATCTGTACCTGGTTGGTTTGTAATTGGTTTAGATCTACCATTGTCTTGTATTTGTTAGCTTTACAATCACTGGCATTTTTTTTCATGAAGCTACCGACAATATCAATTATCAATTCTGTTGTCTATATTATTGTTATGTTAAGGATATGGCAACAAAAGGCTATTTTGCTGCAATTGGGTTTTCAGTAAGGAAAATTCCTCCTTATGTGTAACAAATTTCTCATTGGATAAGGATCCGGCAATAAAAGGCTACTTTATAAATTGAATAAGAGGGATGGTAAGCTAGAAATTTTTTGCTGATACACTGGCTTTCTTTAAGTGTTTTTTTTTGGGTTTTGTTTACCCACATATGCCAACAAAAATTAATGTTTGTCTTGTGCAACTTAAGTGACTTATGTGAGATCAATTTGTGTCAGCATATCACATTTTCATGCAGCTTTGCCTTGGTCTTTCTGCTATAAAACTCATTTTTTGACACAGGATTGTAAATGTCGGTGTGAACTGCACTTGTCTATCAAACATATTTTTGTTTTTTTTTTTTGTCCTATGCTGGTGACAAGATGAATAAAATCTTTCTTTATATTTTTGTTTGTTTTTCATACTTATTGTGAGTTTGTAGCTTGTTCAGACCCTCCCCTACAAAACTGCTAGCAAACTAACTAAGTAATAACTAAGTTATTACACCTCCCATTAAAAATTGCTTATTTATTGAATAACAAATCCTCAAAAACTGGAGTGAATGCTTCAAGAGCATCTTACTCAGGCTATTTAAAGCCCTGAACACAAAAGTTTCAATTCTGAATTCAAGGATAGTAATTGATCAAAGCTCTGATTGATGCCACAGGAACTCTGACCACTCTTGCGTTCTTTGATAGGGGCCTCCTGGGCCTGCTGGTCCTCCAGGGTCTCGAGGACCTCCTGGACCCCCTGGACCTCCTGGTAACCCTGTGATCACTGTAATTGGTATCCCTGGAGTACCGGTAAGCTAAGTAACGAAACATCACATGAATTAAGTTAGCCATGACTGTTTGCAGTACAAGAAGATGTCAAACATTGGTCATAAGTAATAACAGGGGACAACAAACTTCTCAAGCGTATTCAAACCTTAGTCAATTTAGAACTTTTTATTATCACGCGCTCAGCTCACTGAGCCAAAAGGAAACTTTGGATGAATTGAGTGCCATTTTAGGTTCACAAGTGACACCTGTCTGGCTTAAAAATTGCTGAAGTCATAAAAAAAAACCTGATACCCTCATGACATTAAAGCCTCAACCAGTTGTTATCTTATGATTGGATACTCTGACTACTAACTAGGCTTAAGGGATCCTTTTTTTCAATGAGTAACTGATCATATGATGATGTTCGCTTGTGTCCTATAGGGAAGAATGGGAGAGAAAGGTCCTCCTGGAAGAGACGGCCCACCAGTATGTATTTACTTATTAATTATGTTTTATATTTTTTTGTTAAAATGCTTGACATGAATCAGGTTAGCTTGCATTAGAGTTTTATTTGACTTAAATGTAGTTATATTTTAGTTTAGATTTTTTGTTTTTTTGTTTTTTAAACCATCATCAAGGGGGAAAACCAAATATACGTTGATAATGTTATTTATTGCTTCTTGCAGACATTTTTAAGGCAGGGAGCAACTTAATCCATGTAACTAAAAGTTGCTGCTTTTTGTCTGTTCCTTTATCACAACCTCATCATTGGCCTTGTTATTAATGCAGGTTTCGTTTTTAATCCTAGGGTCTCCCTGGAGAAATTGGTTCACCTGGCCCTCCGGGAATTCGAGGATTAGAGGTAAGTTATTTGTGGAAAGAAGAATCCAATCTGCCTTTTCAAGTTGTTGTTCATTTATCAATACTTACATGAAAATAGAGTTTAGAGAGATGCAAACAATAATGATATGTCTAAAGGTTAAGCAACATTTATTGAACCATTAACAAGTAATTAAACTTAGTTAACCTTAACCAATATGCATAGTAATGATGTTTTAAAGCCATTCTGCAGTTTTGAATCTATTCCAGGAAAGTTTATCAAAACTTTGTTGTGGGATCTTAACAAGGAATTTTGTATTTCAGGGAAACCCAGGACCTCCTGGTATAATTGGTATATCAGGTCGTAATGGGATGAATGTAAGTACTAACTCTTGGCTATTAATTTTTTTTTTCTGTGGATGTCTTATCTTTATCAGTACACAGAGATTAAAAGGTGCAACTCAAGTGCTGCACATGCATTTACCAATAGCGGAATACATTTACAAGTTTCATTAACTGTATGGTTTCAATTTAAACAGTAAAAAATATTAGTACTTTGCTGGGAATCCCTTTTTATCTACTTGTCAATTTTCCTATTAGTGCTGAGTTTCTACATGGTAAACTTGGCACTGAGGCTAAAAGGCTCTATTGTTAAAGCTTATGGTGGGTTCCAAAGCATCAGAAGTGACCAGGAGTACACATATTATTACTTCCCTTGGATAGGTCCATCTCACTTTAACACCCAGCATTTTTGGCCTGTTTCAGGCCTGTTTAAGAGTAAAGTGTCTTGCCCATGAACTCAAAATAAAGACCCAGCTGGGGTTGGATTTCAAACCTTTCAACTCAAAGTTTAGCATGCATTCTGTTGGGCCACCATGCCTCTTTAATTACACACTGTGTAATGTGTGATGCAGTTTGACAATGTAGGTTGCATTTTTTTGATATCTGTACTTTCTTTAGGGAACAACAGGCCCACCAGGATTAACAGGTCCACCTGGTACACCAGGAGCCCCGGTTAGTAACACATTGTAAATTTCAGTCATGGTTTGATTCCATTTTATATACTACTGGAACAAAATTAATTAGATATTAACTAATGATAAATGAATGTTTTATAATTTGTCTCATGATTTAAGAGCCAGGTTGATTATCAATTGATCACAATGTTTCCACTGCTATGCCACTTGTCTTCATCAGCTGACAAGGTCAAAAGTTTATGTGTTGCTTTTTATAGCACCTTCAATAAGTGTCAAAATTAGTTGACACATCATGTTTGAAGAGGTCTATTTATTTGTAGAATGACAATCCCATTTCTAACACACTCTAAATCACTAAAAAGGCTCCCTCTCTTATTCAATGTTGGGTAAAAGTTCATGGAATCACAATACAACACTGTTTGTTGTTATGGGTGTGTCATGGTGTGCTGTACATAATTATACCAAGATTTTATAAAATGATTAATCTATTGACTCTCTTTTTAGAAAAAAATGTAGGCAGAATTTTATATCAATTGATTTTGCAGAAAAATGAATTTAAAAGAATGAATTCTGCTCATTTGCTGTCTTTAGCAATCATTTAGTGTGGATAGTCAAGGCAATAGTCCTAGCCAAGGTCTTTTGAGGTGTTTAGTATGAAATGAAATCTGGGGATGAACAAAAGAAACAAATATTATTATTTCCTGTGGATACCACAATTAAATTGTAAATTATATTATTATTGTATTTTGATACTGTTTCTTTTGTGTGTGTGGTTGTTGTTGTTTAGGGTGAAAGAGGAGTAGGAGGACCCAAAGGTCAACCTGGGCCAAAAGGTGATCGAGGATTTGCTGGAAGGAAAGGCCCAAAGGGTACCAGGGGTAATCCTGGCCAAAAGGTGTGTTGATGCATAATGGTATAGTCACGTGTCTTCTCCTAGTACTTTGTCTGTAAGTTAAGGTTGCTTGTGTATGGTGAATGCAGAACAGATTTACTGGTCTCCCATGCAGTTTGCCAAATCTCTTAGTGGATAAAACTTAAATTATTTTCGGTATTATCTTAACTTATGGGGAATGATGTGATAACAGTTGGCTTATTTGCAGAGTTCAGAGATGTGTATTTGAATTTTTTTTGATTTTCTATGATGTCCATTAATTCTGACTCTTATTAATACACTGTAGCCAGTTGGTGGAATGAAAGTGGGATTTGAAGGGGTCATTGGTTCCTTTTTGAGTTTACTGGCTTGTTGGCAATAAAGCTCTGTGTTAAGTGGTGCATAATTAAAATAAGTAAGTAAGTAAGACCACTTCAAGTAAGACCAGGATCAGCATCAGTCTCTATAAAGTTCATGTGTCGGAGTTGGTTTGGAAGCAGAGGGTCACTGGTTTGATACCTCTAAGTAGCATATACTGATTTTTTAAAATCTCAAGGTGTACTCCTAAAATAGCCAAATAGCACCCCAGCTGTCTAATTTTGGAATTTTTATCATGATAATTATTTTCAATTTTAAGGGTTCACCAGGTTTTCCTGGTGTAGCAGGAAGGAATGGAAGTGATGTAAGTACAGTGATATGTAAACTGTAAGTTGTAAGTCACAAAACAGTCTGATAATTAGCTCTTAATTAGTCTTTAGTGGATTGATTATTTGGCTATGAGACATATCTTAGCCAAACCTGCTTCATCTGGCGAGGCCCTTATATGGGAATTTTGTTTATAAAGTTTTCCAAAAATAAAGCTCTTCATCAGTGTGAAAACTCATTTTCTGAGGATTGTGGCTCATATAGCCAACTTAATTTTAATTGTTTGCCCTCATCAGATTATCAGATTATCCAACTGTATGGTTCTGAGATCTGAGACAGGTGAAGAAGTGATGTCAAAGACTTATTGCAAGTTTTCCAATTTGTGATTCAAGCCACATATACAATGACAATCGATTGCCATGTAATTGGGACCCAAATGCACAGTCAAAAACTTGACAGATTCAGTGTTTTGGGTTTGAACAAATTTAGAAATTAAAATGTTTCTAGATTTGAAATATCCAGGAGTTTTAGTCATCTGTACCTTTTCCTCTTTGTCCTTTTTGCTGTTTTAAATCTTTTACTGGTTACCTGTTTAACTTCTAAGATCTGATTGTAAATTCCCCCTCTAGCTGCCACATGTTTCCTTGTTAATTGGTTACCAGAATGCGGCATTAGATCAAGATAACAACATTTGCCAGATACATTTTGTGTATTCGCATCACCTGTTTGTTGGATAATGTATGGATATTATAGGGAGGAGGTATATTTTAATCACTACTAGTAGTTAAAGGGTTAAGAATGATTTGATTGCATTTCTTTTGCAGGGAGATCCGGGTGCTCAAGGACTACCTGGACCTGATGGCCCTGCAGGACCACCAGTAAGTCCACAGGCTTATCAATTATATTTTGATTTGGCCAGCCTCTGCTGAGTACTGTACAGTGGTAAATGTAGATTCACTTTGTTATCAGAGGTATCTATCGATTATGCATGTTTGTGAGCCTTTTTTTAAAACAAAATACATGCAAAACTCTTTACAGAAAAAGTGTCAGCAAGATTGACTAAATGGACCAACATCATCATTTGTTTTGAAAAAACTGAAGTCAAATCCAAGTAATTGAAATGTGTCATTTTTGAATGACATGCAGTTTTACCCCTGAAATAAACAGAAAGAACAGCTTTGTATTATTTTATCTATGGCATGATATTTATCAATTTTTTAGGGAACAACAGGAGATACTGGAGCTGAAGGACCTCCTGGTGCACAGGTGAGTACTTTGTTAGCAAGGTTGTGTTGTATAGCCCCAACCTCGTTTTAACCCTTTACACCCTAACATCTGAATGCAAGTTCTCCTTACTGTTCTCCACCCCATTTCCTATGGTGCTTATAAGGAGAATTTGTGTAGCAATCAAGAGCTTCTCAAGCTCATGATCATTTCCTTTATTCCTATGACCTTAATGGTTGATTCAGTGGTGATACTGTTAGGAGAAATGAGATGCTTATCACTCCGAGAAGGCTAAGTGTCCTCAATGACCAATTGCATGAAATGCCTGTGGCAGACCATGTTCAAAGTTTGCTCGAGTGTTAATTATCTTAGTCAGATATGGAAATTAGCCATGTGCTTTATAAGTTAAGCCCTGTTGGTTTATCAATGTCCAATGCATTCAAAGTTTCAAAGAAATCTACATTTAAGGTTTTAAAAGACAATACAATTGTATATGATTTGTGACATATAAGTCTGCAAATATTACATTGAAACAATTATTATAATTATCCATTCTGAAGGAATCTAAAATTTGCGGATCATTGTTTTTCTAGGGACCCCAAGGTGTGGCAGGCACAGCAGGTGCACCAGGAGCTGCTGGTCAGAAAGGTTCAACAGGAGACCCAGGTTTAGAAGGAGAGCGTGGCAAACAGGTCAGTACTGTCCTCATGCTAATTTTAACATGTGTTTGTTTGAAACACCCAAAGTAGAAAAATTTTGGCTAGTAAAAAACTTTCTTAATAAAAAAGTTTTTTAGTGCAAAGTAAAAGCGAATTGAATAGAAGTGAAAGGAGCCCTTGCACATGATCTTGAAGGCAAAGCACTGCAGACACATTTACAGTTTGGCTGTTCGTGACTTATCTCAAAGAGTACCTAGACAAGTATGATTGTCTTTGGTATTTTTTCACATCTTTGGATATGATCAGGTTTTGTACATGAACTCTGGACTGGTACTCTGAGGATGAAAATCTCATGTGTTAATTGGCTCCACAGATTGGCAGGCTTACTCATATTGCAGTTACAGGCAATTTTGTTACAAGATACTGTATATCTGCTGATAGTACATATAAATGTTGGCAAATCCATTATTTGTTAAATTTCTTTTTCTAGGGTTTACCCGGTCAACCAGGGCCACAGGGTCCTGCTGGTGATCCAGGAGAACCTGTAAGTGATTCCTTTTTACGAAACGTGTTTTAATCTTATTTTAGCCACAGCAAGTCAGACTCAAAACACTGTGATATAGCCACAACCTCACCATACTGTCACTTACATGTATAGTTAAAAAAAAAAAAAGATGGCAGAATTGCTTTACACAGACCAAATGTGGGGGCATAATTAAAAACAACTTGTTATTAAAGTTTGTATAGAATTCACTTCAGACCTATTTCTCAGGCACAAGGGCTTGGTCTTTAATTGTCACACATCTAAAACAGTTTTCTGTGTTTTTGTTGCTTAAAATAGCTTTTGTCGACTAACTAATCCATTCTTTTCAGGGTCAGGATGGTGCAGATGGTGCTGAAGGACAGAAAGGAGAACAGGTGATTTGCATTTTTTATTTTTGCTATCGCACAAATTTCTTCACTTTCACTTGTGTCAATTTCCTTGTCAAGTTGATCCAATGGGTTTCATCCTATCTTTTTCATTTTTTTCTTTTGAATTTGAGGTTTCTCTTTTTCTATATTTCTTTCTTCCTTTCTTTTTTTTTTCTTTTAACCACATTTTTTTAGCTTGTGTCGTAAAGCGCTAAACTGTGGTGCAGTTGGTGTGGGGCTCAAGCCCCAGACATGGCTCGCACTCAGGGTGTTAAAATAACTGAGGGAAATTTTGTGCCCTTGCTGTGACTTCTGCAAATTGTTAGACACTCTTTGACTTGTCTTCTCAGATAGGGATGATTGCATCTTCTTTGTAATGGTTAGCAGGGGACATTGAAAAACACACAGACTTTTTGCAAAGAGTTGGAAACGTAGTCCCCAGTGTTGTGATCTGGCCTTGTTATTGTTGATACAGGACCCTATTTAAATTGGTTTTAAAGCTGAACTGGGCCAGTGTTTCTTAATTTTGCAAATAAATAATTTAAAATTAATCATTAGAAAAATTTTATGCACCTTCTCCAGTCTTGCACATAATTTTATGAAGTTTATGTGGTGGAGTGTTCTTCTTGCTCTATACAGCTACTATTTCCTTGAGATATTACACACAGTTTTAGAATTTCCTGCCATGTTAAGTCTGTAATCTTCTTGGTCATATTATGTTCATCATTTATGATGTGTAGCAATCGTGAAATGTTTGATGGCATTCTCAACATTTTTGGTGTACTACCCCATCAAGACCTTTTCCAATATGTGATTGGATGCATTCCATAATTTGTTTTAACTTATCACAGGGTGACAGTGGACCAACTGGACCACAAGGCTTACCTGGAGCCCCAGGAAAAACGGTACAGTATGAGTGTTTTTTGCTATCATTTTTCTCCTTACAATTTGTGCAGATCACGTTCTGGAATTTTTGTTTACTTGTACCTATCTTTAAAATATTCATTTATCTCTATAAGCCTAGAAATAAAATACTGCAATATGTTAAAAATAATTATGGTAAAAAGACTAGTTTTTTTTTTTGGTTGAATTTTACAGCAACACATATTAACTAATTTTTACACATTCACAAGAAATAGATAACAGCCTAATTTCCAGGTGTTTTAAGCCTCATACTTGTCAAGACAAATGTTAATTTAAGTTCCTGTTAATTCATCACCATGCATTTCACAAAAAATAGTTTTAAGGCATGAAGTATGCGACAAGGAGGACACCTCAAGCAATCCTAGGGCCTAGTAACCTTTAACACCCTAAAAAGGTTAAAATCGGAAAATTTCTAAAATCGGTATGCATATTCTCTATGCTGTTCTTCAGATATTTCTTAAGGTGCCAAGTGGGAGAATTTGTTTAAAGATTAAGAGCCTCATTCTTTAAATGGTGATCATTTCCTTAATTCTCATGATCTTAATGTCAGCAAGGAGGTATTTGATGCTGGTCTCTCTAAGTGTCTGAAGGGTCAAGGTTACATGGTCAGCTAATCTCAAAGATCACTAGTTTATTTTGCTAGGGTAGTTAGTTTGAGGATATTAGGAAGAGAAATAAGTCTGTTGAAAGAATCCCTTTTTAATAAAAGCAAGCTCTCTTTTGTTTAACAAATTAGGTAACAGATAGTCAATAACGAGAAGACTCATTGGTTGTATAGCATAGTAATAACTGACTTTTATTGGATTTATTGCTGATTTCTTGTTGTCATAATAATTTATCTAGGGTAGTCCTGGTCTAGATGGAACCCAAGGTGCGCCCGGGTCACAGGTGGGTCATGTTTTCAAAAGCCTTTTTAACTTATTGATACAGACCTATCGGTCATGAAGTAACTAGCAGTTTGTGGAAATCAGAAGGTCTCCATGTCAATATAAGAAAACTTTATTTCTTGCTGAATTTGAAGTATCAACTAGAATTAAATCAAAACAATTCTTAATTATTTCAAGAAATTAATGAAACATCTAAAAGCCACATTTGTAAATATAGGCTCTTCCTGGTTAGAGCATTTCTGCCTGTCGTGACCTTGGTTAAATTCATGGCTAAAAATAGCAGTCTGTGGTGAGGTGCACTGATGTATTCAGTGCTCTGCCTTATTTTAAGCATGGCAGGTAAAAGAAATTTTCAAACTGGTAGTCAGAACAATCATTTGTACCTTGAAGTTCCAACCCCCATTTTAGCCAAAACACAACTTGGAGTGCAACTCTGTGAATAAACATATTAACCATTTTATTGTTTTATTTAACATTTTTTCATCAAGTTACAACCTTTTCATAGTTATATTCTAGTTACAAGCATATTTAGGTTGTATCTCCAGATGTGAATGAAATACTTTGTGAAGTATAAATTTATGAGCTAAAATTATCTTAAAGAATGTTAAATTAAATTTGAAAAAAACCTCATTCTTGCACCCCTCAGTACATCCACGTTGATTGCAAATAGATAACAGGTATTTATTATCTTCCATGCACTTACCAGGGTGAGACTGGACCCCCAGGACCTCCAGGGCTTTCTGGTCAGAGTGGCTCAAGGGTATGTTTAATGTAAAACATTAAATAATTAATATTAACGCAATTTTGAATTCAACTTGTTTCAGTTAGTGTGAGACAGACATACTTAAAGTCCACATAAAAGTGTGAGTTACTTACTAGCCATGTCCTAGTTCCTGGCTAACTTTGAAGAGACTAACCCACCACTGTGGCCTGGGTTTGATTCCTGAACCTGGTGTCACATGTGTTGATTTTGTTGTTGGTTCTTTTCCTTACTCCATGGGTTATTCCCTGGCTCTTACGGTTTGCCTCCCTCTGCAAAAACCACATTTGAAATTCCAATTTGACCTGAAAAAAGTGGACAAGAAGAGTTACTTCATGGAATTTCCATTGCTAAATTACTATTTCTGTTCTCATTCCCATTTATTTCCATTCACATTTAACTATGACTTGTTTATTGAAATTTGTGACATATATTTGGTTTTTTTTCCCATTTCTAAGGGAGATGAAGGTCCCAGGGGTGTAAATGGACCACGAGGTCCACGAGGACGACAAGTGAGTCACTTTGTTTTCTGAACTTCAGGAGAATGTAATTAGTGGCCAATCCATGTGATTTTTTTAAATCAACTCACGCAAATACTCACTATCAATTGAAACACATTGGTATGAAGGATTCTTCATATGTAATAAATTAAGGTAACAAATTAAAAAGCCTTCTGGAAGATCTGGTTGGGAAACCTCAGACAGTGCATGAGGCAAAGAAAAGGAGAAGACCATCTACTCCTTGCTTGATAAACTGACAATTGAATTTAGATGTTTTACCAAATGGTTTGCAAAAAGATCTGAGGTGCATTTTTTCCTGATTTTGGCAAAGCGTCATGCAGGCCAATTATTTTGTAAAGTTTGTATGCAGCAGTTTCTGCATATGATGTGGAGCTTTTCCTGCCAAGTTTTTCTTTACTCACATACATCATCAGCATGCTCAACAGGAATATGAATCACACTTTTACAATTGAATGTGATTATGTTTACTGAGTATGTCACAAATTTACTAAATAGGCCAATGTTTTGCTTTAGGGAAAGCGAGGCAAACCAGGACAGATGGGAGCCCCTGGAGAACAAGGTGCCCCGGTAAGGAAGACCTTTGAAATGTTTTTCTGATTTAAACAGAGTGGAAGATCACTGTCTAACTTTAGTTAGTAATTCCAGTCCAACAATTTTAAATCTGCTAGAAATTTTTGACTGACTACTGAGGGTTTTTTCTGGTTACTTTCAGAAGTTTGTTACTTACAGTGGCTAAATGCTAATAAATATTGACTCTGATTTTTGGTTCCAAATCTTTTCTCTGATATTTCATTTATTGGAAATTAATTATTTCGTCTTGATGTCTTCTTAATTTTTTGTGTAACAATTTTGAATGTATCTTTTATGCAAGGTAATCAAAGTTTACATTTATGTTGTTTTTCAACTTCATTCTTGCTTATAATTATTTTAACGAGTTCTTGACGTGGAGCAAGAGCTAGGATATTATTATGCTTTTTGAAATATTAACAACAAAAAGATGTCTTATAAATACATTTGATGGATATGCAAATAACAGTCATATTTCAGTAGTTCGCAAGAAAAATTTTGCACTTTGAGCCACATAGTGGTCTACCACAATCAGTGAGTTTCAAGGAATAAACTACAGTATTTATCAAAATACCAAGGTTAACAGTTGATCAATTTTAATCTTTTTTGCATTGTATGGGAACAGAAGAGGGGCTTCTAGCTATTCTTACATGTGCATAAAATTGTTCTTTTTATTAGTGCTGTGTATGGCTTTCATTTGTATTGTTCTGTATATATTTACCTGTTTATACTCACATTATCTTGAATATATGTTATTAGGGACAGCGTGGCCCTCCAGGCTCCATGGGCCCAGCAGGATTACCAGGAGCAGATGTAAGTAACTGTGCAAACTTGAAAGCAGTCATTTTGAAGTGATAAAAGGTGAAATAAGCTTGCTACTCCTCCTGGATGGAATGCTGTCCAATCACATGGTTAATTACCAATATCTGAACAGGTTTCATTCCCAGAGAGTTCATCAGTACCCATTAATCTTTTGCTCCCTTACATCAGTATCCTAATTCTCCATACCCAATAGATTTCCTTTGGTACTGACAAGGAGAATTTGTTTAACAATCAGAACTTTTTAAAATTTGACTCAAGAATGAGATTGTAAGGAGAAATTAGAAGCCAGTCGCTCTAAGGAGTTAAAGGGTCAAATTTCATACTTCTGGGTGGGAAGGGTAAATTTTATGGTTGAAGAACACAACATTATTACAGCTATTATGATAATGAAAATAAAGGAAAAAACTAGACAAGAACAAACATTTAATTGTAATTTACACCTATTTTAAATATATAAATGTAAAATATGTTTGTAATGAATTGTTTTGTAATCTCCATTTTGCTAGGGAAGTGTTGGAGAACCGGGAAATTCTGGCAAAAATGGACAAAAAGGAGAACGGGTATAGTATTATGACAAATTTTGTTCAGTTTGAAAATGAAATAACTTTGATTGACTATTGTTTTGGCTTTTATTCATTTATTTAATGTTTGAGAAAGTGTCCAGTATACTTATATTTTGTGTTCTCTCTTTTCTTTACCTTCAGGGACCTGATGGTATTGCTGGAGAGGATGGTCTAGCTGGTCCAAGGGTGGGTGTCTTGTGTTACTTTGTTTATTGTTTTGAATTAATATCAATGGCAGTTGTCATAAGACTGTATAATTGCTTTTAATTTGTCAGTGAAGTCTCAACCCCAGCCAAGCCCAAATTATTGTTTTGGGGTTTACTTTCTGCAATTTTGTTGATAAACTTCTTGTATATCACATTTCCAGTCCTTTTTGGAAAAATTCAGAATAATTTAAATTTTACCCTCAGGCTTGTTGGGAAATTAGGTTGAAGGTTGAAGAATGATTGATAGCCTGAACATTGTTTACGGCTATTTACATGTGAGGATCAAGTTGTCGTCAGCGTCTGAGTCATGTGACCCATCTTGCAAGAATTTTTTCCTGGTGGTTTCTGGAACATGGAGTGATAGGGAGTATTTTTAAAAATTCTCCCCTGGATGAAATGCTAATCCAGTTTACTCTGCAGCATTTTTTCAAATTTTCTTGACAGTGAGAGTAATTAACCCTTATAAAGAATTCAATTCAGAAAGTTTGCCAGAGTGGACCTGTTGATGGGACTTTCTTTTCTTTCATTGTACTTGTGTGTTATAATGAATTGGATGGCTGCATGTTACTAACTGACACTTTTGTATCCAGGGAGCTCCAGGGGCACCTGGTGATCCAGGAGGTGATGGAAGAGATGGTGAAAAGGTTAGAAAAAAAATCCCTAATATGTGGCCTATTCCTATCTTGCATGTGTTATTCAACAAGAATAAATATGCTTAGTTAGAAATAGTTATTGTCTGGAGGTATCCTTTTATGGGTTAAGGGAAGTGTTGTATTCTCATTTGATAAGAGTTCAATCACAACCTGCTTGAGTTTTAAGACTGACCCACCTAAAGGATTTTGTTCTTGGTTTATGCCTGAAGGACAAAGTCCAAGAGCAGAGCACCATATGTTAATGGTTAACTCTGTATGATTCACTTCTGAGGGCTGAAGTTTTTATTTTGGAGCATGAACTTGGGGCAGATTGAGAAATCTTTAAAACAACTCTTTATGTTTGTTCTAATATGAAGCAATCTCTGGCAGTGTTCACTGTCTTGTAATTTAATTGTTGTGTAAAGTGAAGCTTGAGCATGCTTCAGGTGGAAAACCTTACTTGATTAGTGGCCTTAAAACTTGTATGCATGTTCTGTGGATAATACCTGTTCTTTTGTGATTGTATATGGCTAGGCTATGAAACTTTAACTTTGTTATCTGAACCTTCATAGGGTGCAAGAGGAAAAGACGGTGAACCTGGCAAAGCAGGACCACCGGTAAGTGTTAAAATACCATTTCATGGGAAAAGAGTGGGGTCTATCGGGAACAACTGCTAGCAAAAGTTGGCCACTTCTAGACCAAGTATGCTGCCAGTAGTGATTTGAATTATTAGTTGCCTTCCTACCCACTGACAAGCACACTCTTTTAAACTGAAATGATTTTCACCCCTAGTTGAATATTTGCCCCTTTTACAGACCCTCAAAATAAGATAACTGCACTGGATGCAATGTCAGGCAATTACTTCAACCCTTCAATCAGCAGTCTTGGGGCCTGTGGAGAAGTGTTGTTGCCCCCCCCTGAGCCTTGTAGTTTTTTTATTAGGTGTGGAAGACCAAGTGATGTATAGTTTATTGATCGTCTCATAATTTTTTAGATCAAAGTGAACCTTAATTATTAAGGGTTGTTTGATGTTTATCAATCTAACAGGGACCTCCAGGACCTAACGGTGGCATTGGAGTTTCTGGCCAAAAGGGAGAACAGGTGGGTACATGGAGGGGAAGGTACTTTGCTATAACTGTTTTGATTACAACCATGGGAAGAGTAGGATTCATCACAAAAACTGCCCTGAATTGATCCAATACTGTTAGTGTGAGCAGATATATAAGAAGAATTCCTGCTCATCCTATGCTTAAGAACTGTTACAGTTCACGAGTGTCAAGAAAAGGCTAAACAAGGGGAACCATTAATTTTAAAAAAAATTACCTTTTGAGACTATTATGTATAACAATTTAAAGCTTCAAGATCCCCCTTCCTCTGGCCATCTGCTCGTGAAGGTGAACTTTCTACCCTTAAACACTTTGATATTAAAAGATAAAACATGTTTATTCAGCTGGAAAGATTTGACTGTTCTGGTTCAAATTCCCCATGCCATCCAGGAAAGGTTCAAATTTTCCACTTGCTCAATAAAAACCATTACAGGTTTCAACATGGAGAGAAGGCCAGAAATGCTACATACTGCCTAGTCATTGATTTTCAAAACAATAAGCAATGAGTCTTTTTCAATTTTTCATATTTTAGGGTGCACCGGGCAAGGCTGGAGGATCTGGTCCTCCTGGCTCAAGAGGCCCTCCGGTATGGTCTCTCTATGTGTTATTTCTCAAATATGTCTGTAAACTGACTAAGAAATGCCATGTAGCATGTAAACTTTATAGCCTTTATAATGAATGAAATGCTGCAAACATTGACCATCTTCTGTCCCTTTACCTGTAACTCCAAAGATCTGATCAGCATATATTCTCCCTTTGACTTGCTATACTTATCCCAGTAAATCAGTTTGGAGAATTTTGATAAAGATAGCATCCTCTCACTTTGCATGAAGAATTTACTCATTTAAAACACCTATGACGGTTAAAAAGGTGAATATTAAGTATTCATTGTGTGATGTGAAAAAAAAATTGAAATTGTCAGTTTTTCTTTCCTATTTCATTCTTTTCATGTATTTCTTTAACAGAAAATCACACACATGTAGTTCTCATAGAAATTCTGGCCTTCTTGAGCAGCAAAAGCTTTAATTTATATCTTTGCACAACATACTGCGAATTCACTTTATACAAGTTTCCACCATTATATACACAGAATATTGCAGGTGGTTTTTTTAATAGATTCACACTGAGCTTACCTTTTACTTTAACTGTATGGTGGTCCATTTAAAGGTTTTGACGTTCATCTAGATATGTTGTCCATTTGAACTGAAAAATAGCCGATAACAGGTTATTCAAATCGTTATAAGATGTCTTACCAGCTCAACCTAAACCTGAACAAACTAATTACTCAACTTTTTACATTACCCCATGAAATATGCAGTTGGAAAATGGATCCTCTTTCTACAGGACAATTTCTTATCCAGTCCATCACACCTATCCATATTCCATAGCACCTTTAAATCCATCATGAACCACTTCTTAACACTACAGTTTCCCCCACTTCTCAGTGAAGGAGAAATGTGTTAATGTTAACATTGTCTGTTAATGTTAACTTTGTCATTTCATATGTGACGTTATTGTTTGTTTATTGTACCTGTTTTGTCTTTTTGCTAAAGGGTGCTTCTGGTGAATATGGTGCAATGGGGGAGCAAGGAACGCCAGGAGCTGATGTGAGTACCATACATGATAAAATTAGAAAGACTGCAAATTGTTTTTTATAATGTCAACAAAGGGTTATGCTGTTTATTATTACAAGATTTGATCAGTTAAGACTGCAGAGAAAGTAACTCTGACATTCCAGGGTAGGTGAGTTCCCCGATTCACTTAAGTCAATGATCCATCTTCCTGCATTTATTGAGGGCCAGTTGCAATGTTGCTTTTAACTCATAAAGTTTTTATAAATATCAGAAAAAAA